TATCTCGTTTATTCCACCAGTGATGTCTCATCTATAATAAAATCATTTTTGTCTTAATCCGCTACTCTGAACAATCCTGTGACGATTGCGCTGGGTGTCAAAGTATCGTTGTACACAGTTATGGCTCTTACGGTACAAGTCAGGTGTAATAATCCGTCTTTGTGCAGTTGCACTGTATGGAGTAGGCTGCGTTGCCCGCCAACTGTCTTTGTGTATTTTACGCATTGACGTGTATTGTTAGATTGTCTGCCGACAAAGCACACAGGCACTGAACCATGGATATGCAGCAAGCCTAATATTAATAGTTTTAAAAAAAGTGGCCATGCCGGTAGATGATCAGCCAGTGATTTGGAAGGTGGCGTTAACCACTGAAATAGATCATCGAAAGGTCGACGAAGAGACACTAGTGAAAACAACATGATGTGAGTGGTCGTGACTCTCTATGTTCATGAATATACGCAAACAGTGATCGAAACAGTGTGATTACTTTGTTCGTGGTGGCCCTCGGTTCGAAACCACAACCGAGTGCTAAACAAAGATCAACACTGAGAAACAGTTGGATGAACATGCGACTACTTCAATCAATGGCATGAATCGATGCCTGAAATGGGCAGTAACAAAAATGGAAAATAGTGAACATTACAATAGGGAAAGAACGTTTTGTTCAACAATCATCAGGAAGCATCGTTGAACTAATGAACAATGTATCAAAAATGTACCTTTATAAACACCCAAATATAAGTAACACCTGGTGACACCTAGATACAGTGTTGAAGGGTACAAGTGTGATATGTGAGAGTGAAAGTGAGAAAAGCACAACACGGGCTAATAACAAAGTGCTAATCCACTACGATGTGATAATGATAACTGCAATAATAATAATAACTTTATTATAATGACCCAAAGGCTGACTGCCTATCGTGGGGTCCGTCGCATTGAAGGATGGTACAACAGAGTACAGATTACTACAGTACTCAGGGGATAGTAACGACCAAGCTTGGCCACAAGGAAACGTATAAATACTTCTTTAAGAACTTTAACATGGGTAAGACGTGACTTAAAAATTAATTCAAAAACTCAAAAACAGAAGCTGCAACATCTGGAAGAACTGTTCACACGTTCACGAGGTGTGTCACTAAACAGCAGTGCTAGTTTTCGTAAGTTGTTTAGTGATAATATCTTTTCGACTCTAACTCGGGGAAGGTCTAAGTCTTGCTGCGTTAAATGAGCTGTATATTCATACATCAGATCCAGAACTAGAACCACCAGAACCAGAAGCAAAACTATGTTTACAGAATACGGATGATGAAATCACTCGAAGACGTACGAACAAGTGGATGAAGGGCAAATATAGAAATCTGGGTAGGTTAAGTTAAGAAAATTCGAAAACCAAGAAAATGAGCTATCTACGGTGAGAATGGGCCAGGCGGAACCGCGATTCTACCTTTTTGAAGACATCAAGGTCTGCCGTGCGTTCCCGCGCGGACCAACAAAACCTGGCAGCCGTGCGCATATCTGCTAGTGCAGCAAGAAAGGACTGAGGAGACAGCAAGCGTTCCAAGTGTAGAATTTACCCTCATGTTGACTCAAGCTGAGGACTGCGGCAAGTCAGGGATCATACCAGTCACTTGTCATCATGGTCATGACTAATAAGGAATTCATTTATGGCAGGAAAACTCACACATCAATTAGGATGAACTCGTGTGCGTAGTCGTTAGGAGTAGAAGGTAACAGGAGGGTTTGAGAACAAAGTTGACCCGGAAGTGACCTTGTCATGTTTTGACAGGCTGTGGTTTGACCCTGTCAATTTGTGGTTTGACCTTGATTACTTTACCGTGACATCCGTCAAATAGTGTTACCAGATCACGTGTAACACCCGTGTACTGCGATGTACCTGTGTTACCATAACTTTTGAAGAAAGTGTGACGATAACTTTGAAAAGTGTGACGGTAACTTTGAAAAGTGTTTGTTATGCTGTTACAATAATTTTTTTTTTTTTGAAACCGTATCAATGAAATGTCTGTTATTTTTATTACAAACTCTGTTTTTATCTATATTTGTTAAACTGTGTGCGTGCAACAAACTCTGTTTTCCCTCTGGAGTACCACGGTGAGCACCACCACCACCACCACCGTCACCAAACCTGATACTCCACGAGCAAAGCAATGCATCACCGTTGTAAGCCTGCTCGACTCTGCATGAAGCAACAGGTTAGCCGGCAATGACAAAATGAAGAGAGGTACCACTGCGAAGAAGACGATCACTTGCGCGCTACTCGAAGAGAGGTACATATGTAGTCAGGATGTAGCCCTGTGAAGAAGATGATCACCTGCGATACATCTGAAATGAATGAATGATGCGATGCATTAGGTAGCCGTCTAGCGTCGTGTTTGAGTAAAGGTGAAGTGATTTGCGCTCAAGTGCATGGATCTACGCTAACTATTCACGGTCTGCGAGTACTTGTCATGCACGAACTTGTCGGACAGGTAGAACAATGCCGAAGACAAGGTGTCAAGTCTGTCCGTGTAGTTACTTTAAGTGCTTGACTGTGTTGTGCATGTACATGTAAGTGCTTAGAGGTTTTCGGTGGAAGCATACAGAATTGAAAGAGCGTTGGCACTAGTTTGAGAACAAATGTGCCCGGCAGTATTGTCTCAAGCTGTTTGTGGACAATTGCCTCACCTCGTGATGGAGAAAATGCAAGCGCATGCATACCGAGACGATGCCGACGAGGAGTGCTCACCTCGGAGTTTGCACCGTTATGAACAAACACGCACGGCGGCATCGTCTCAAGCGGCTTGTGGGACCATTATTTGCCCACCTCGTGATGGAGAAAATGCAAACGCATGCATACCGAGACCACGAGCGCTCACCTCGTGACGAAGAAAATGCAGACGCATGCATACCGAGATTATGAGCGAATCGTCTTTTGCCATAGAGTAGGGTGGGAACGAACGTGCACGACGGTGTTGTCTCAAGCCGTTAAGCAGCTGTTGCATGTAGCGCATGCATACCGAGATGATGGGCGGACCGTCGTTTGCAATTGAGTAGGCTATGAACGAACATGCACGGCGGCATTGTCTCAAGCGGTTTGTGGGTAATGCGTCCACCTCGTGACGATGAAAATGCAGACGCATGCATACCGAGATGATGAGCGAATCGTATTTTGCCATAGAGTAGGGTGCGAACGAACGTGCACGAAAGCACAAATTGCCACGGCGCCCGCAGCACCTACTCAGCAAGACAGGCAATGCAGACATCTCACTGAATCTACACCCTTAATCCAGAGATCTCGGAGGGCAACAGCAAACTACTCCACAGAGATTTATGCCGGAAACGGCCAAGGACCGCGCGTTGCGGACCGTGAGTACCAACAGGAGGAGGGTCGAGCAGTATCATGAGTCAGTCAGTGAAGTGGATCTGGGGGAACAGCTCCGGTCACGGGACGAGCAGCTAGCAAATGGGAGAAGAGGGGGCTGTACATAAACGGAGGATGAGACGGATGATGAGAAGATGGAAGAGGAATTGGATGAAGAAACGGTCGCTGAAGAGACAGAGGACGAGGCAGATGAGGGTGGTGATGATGATCGTGTGGATGACGAGCGGAACGAGAAAGAGGACGATGGGATGGACGAGGAGGAGTCGGATTGGAAAGAGCGAGATGAGGCGGATGAATGTGTTGATCGTAAGAAGTCGGCGGTGTATCTACACTTGTTATCTCGTCCTGACTGTCTTGGTGTGTATGATGACTCTCGTTTTTCTGTACTGTGTCGTGCTCGTTATGTTCAGCAGTTGACAGTCCTTGAGGCAGTTTGTATACGTATTCATAAGCCTGTTTTGTGTGAGCAGAAAGGGCACGTTGTTGCACTGAGGTTGTATTCGTAGGTTGGCACGTCGTTCAGTGCCTTCTTACCTTTGGTTACGCAATCTTGTTACCTTTTCGCGTTTCCTCTAGTGGTTTTATTGCACTTATATCATGATGTTCTTTCTAACACCCTTCTATTTAACACAGTACTTAACTTCAGTTTCTTTGGTTGTATCCTTTAGTTCCGTTTTTTCCACTGATGGTAGGAACGAGAAAATCGATTCTGGGTTTCAATAATAATTTTTTTTATTATTGTTATGAAATACACATACATCTCGAACAAGTAGCGTATTGGCGTGATGTCTGCACCCTTCATCCTATTCATACGAAGTAGCTATCTTATAATACAATCTCCAGTCCAATTTCCACTTCTACCCAAATCGGAATACTTGATCACGTATTCAGTACTACACGGAAATAAAAGAAAACGCTAGGGAATATGGTGCGACTCGCCAGTCAAGTAGAATTTTTCACAATACGGAGTCTTCCTACCATAGTACAGCCCGTTAGGCTGTGTTTACACGAGGCGTTTCAGCCCGGGCCAGATTTCAACCCACCATGTACACAAAATGAATGGCGCGTTTACGCGCTTGACCCGGGTCAGGGAGATTGTACGAACGTACTTCTGTGCGTATCCCGCGCCAGGTTTTTGAACATGACTGCATATGCAAATTTCGCGCGAACGGATTCACGTGATCACACATGACTCTAGAAGTGGACTTTTGGCGGCATATCAGTATTTGACCCGGGTCAACTGTCTTCATGTAAACGCTCACCTATTTTGTCTATCGTACAGACTTTCAACCCGGGCTGAACTCAACCAGGTTTGAAATTTCTCATGTAAACAGAGTGCAGTTCGCCAGGAGAGTATGCTGTATATGACAGACCCACTTGCGCTATGGCCACGGACTTGTAAATTTGGGATATTTTTCTTAATTGCATCACTTCACATATAAGCCCATGTTGTAATTGGTGGAAATAAATAAGCCTGAGGTGAATACGCCCAGGCTTATTTTTCTCATGTAAACAGCCTCTGAGAAGGGAGGTCCATGCAAGTCATGCAAAAAAGGACACTAACAAGTTTCAAAATGTCATACCCCAATCTGCACTGTGGTTACAGGACATCACACGACTCTCACTAAACAACAGCCATCATTATTAGCTTTCAGTCTTTCGAATGTTATGCTAAAGGCAATTTATGCAACCAAAGCAGAGGCGGTGGATGATTCACTGCAGGCAAACGAGCAAACAGAAATGAGACAAGAGAGTTATTCACACAACAACCATTTAGCTGTGCCAACATGCTAAATAGCAATGAAATTATTTATTGAGGTAATCTGGAAGAAGCAATGGCTTGTTGCTGGCAATTGATTGGGTCTGATTGTAACTCATCCCCAGCAATCTATATCAATGGGTCACCCGGCATTATCGATAAATTTTACAGAACGAAAACGTCAAGTTACGACCACCCCGGAAAAAATGTATCAACTCAATAGATAGAATGGATTTATGGTATAGGGAGTTTACTTGTGTATAAATCTTACTGTAACCTCAAGCCTATAGGTCAAGTAAGTACACGCATGTAGGGCAAAATGGGAGCTTCACTGCTTTTTTAAATCTGCAAACAAAACCATGGCACCCAATTTTTCAAGAGAAACATGTGCAGTACAGTCGTGCACCCAAGAACGATGTTTCCAAAGGGGTTAGCCTGGGACGTCCTTATTTTTATTCTTGGCTGCAGTCGTATAGCACGTTCTTAGACAAAAATCCGCACCGGAACATTGTGTCCTACAAGCTGCCGTTCTAAAGTTTAGGCTTTGGCGTTCTTCAGCATGCGACTCTACAATGAAATTGTCCACATGGTCTACCATTCTGTAGATAGGCCGGCCAGAGACATGACGATGGCAATGTGAATCGCCATGACGACACTATTTAAAAAGCTAGTAGTAAGTATATGTGAAGTACATTCACACAACATGTGCCAGTGAAGCGACATCCAGATGTGGTAAGACACCGTAAGAATATTAGCAAGGACTTACTACTTCCAGTTGGAGGGAAGACCACGCCTCGTCTTGTAGTAGCGAGCAAGGCGATGGATACGGCTCTCGATGAGAATGAGCCTGAACTTGGAATCCTTATCCTGAAACATGTACCCACACTAAATAGAATCGAAGCAGGATATTGTTCACCCTGGTACATTTACCAAAAGCCACATCATTGTTTTCCAAAAAGATGCATGGAGTGACCGCACAGACTGGTCACAACAAGACATCACCACATTGGATATTCAAATTACTTTGAAACAAAGTGAACTAAAGTGGAAATGTATTCACTGTTTAGGCACTAGTTAACCTCTGTTAATTTGGCAAAGACATTTAATTTTAAATTCACAACCGCATCACGCAGTGAACCCAAGACTTCGCTAAGCCGTAAATACGGTAACGCTGAAAAGTAAAACACACCTTGCGTTGCTTCTCCATATGCTTGCGGACAGAGACAGCCTTCTTGATAAGGTGGTACAAGTCCTCTGGAATGGCAGGGCCAAACCTAACACAAGGAAACAAAAATGAATACAAACACGGACAGCTTGCACAAGGCGAAGAAACTAGTCTCTGAGTAACAGCAAACAAGTTCAAGGAACAGAACTTTTCAGCTAGATAATAAAACAGTGTTCAACTGTTCATACTTTGAAATAGATTTGCATCAGGCAGTCTATATTGTATCAAAGGTTTAAAAAAAAGCCGAATACAAAGAACATTACACACGAGTAAGGGAACAAGGAAAATATTTTCTTTCTTTCAAGTCAGTAGTTGGCCAGTGGTCTGGATTTTCATATTCGGAGGCGTCCATCACATCCGGATTCTATTTAGTGAAAGACGACGTAGAGCTCTAAACCGTCTACAAAGAAAATATTTCTTTCTTTCAAGCCAGTAGTTGGCCAAGGATCCTAGGCTAGTGGTCTGGATTTTCATATTTGGAGGCCTCCATTACTTCCGGATTCTATTTAGTGAAGGAAGATGTAGAGCTCTAAACCGTTCACCTTTCAGAAATATAGGCACAGGTTTGTGTCACTAATCCAGCGGTTGCTGGCCCAAGTTTTCCATGCATAGCCTACAATTCACAAAGTGCGTTCATATTGATGGGCAAAGGTTAATAAACACAAGTGTCAGATACGAAAAGAATGCAAACAAACTGTACATGTACATTTGTTACACCTGTATACTAGTCTTCCAGATGTGTCAACACATTGGCGATAATTTAGCTTCAGCCATTCAGAATATTCACTTGACCAACAGGGCCCGGTGCCGAGGGTGTCAGATAACTGACCGCTGATGAGGCCATTACATATGCTTTGAATGGAATGCATGGACTCAAGTGACAGTTTGTATTGAGATTCGAAGACCAAATTTGTATCAAGTGGCAAGCCATGCAAACAGTGTTAGGTTTGTGTTGCAAACCGGCACTCGCGCTCCACTGCTTTGCCACTCCATACAAGGCACCTCAAATCGTGACGTTATCACAATTATTTACATAATACAGCGCTGACAATTGCTCAAGTGAAGTGCTATCATAGTAGTAGCCAATCCAGCATATATTACAGTTCAAGGGATCCAGGGCAATCACTACAAACAGCAACCACAATTCGTTCTGCGTCATACAATCGGGATGTTGCAGACACCTGCTGTGTCCAACCTATACCCTGAGTCATCATTGGAGGGCGATGATGAGGCTGTTGTTAGTAACCATCACTGTACCGAAGTATAGGGTGCCACCATTGCATAGTAATATTTATTGCCCATTTTCAAAATTCGAATTGCTAAAAATGGGTTTCAATATTGCTAATGTCAGCTGCTACTTCTGCCGAGATGTAACGGACGGTGACTAATATCTTTAAAGGAAGACAAACTAACTATTAAATTGAACATGTATGTAGGTAATTCATGAAAATGTAAAAAATATCAATTACATACCCTTAACCTTCAGGATTCGGAGGATCTTGTTGCCAGTAACAAGTTTGACCTGGGCAATACCATTGCTATCACGCAGCATCACACCTACAAATGCAATAGGTACAGATTGCACAACAATGATCACGTCAATTAGGCATTCTGCTAAAGAGTTCTGTAAAATTGTGAATTGTGTTGAGTAAAATTATGCGTACAAAATCAAATTTCGACTTGTAGTAAATTGTTCTTACCGATTTGGGATGGAGTGCGCCCCTTCTTGGCGAGCTTGGCAATCATTTCCTTGACCTCGTCAGAGGACATCTTGACCCACTGCAGTTAACAGTAGGGTAAAATAGGTATTGTTTACCTTACAAGTCTTCCATACTTGCAGATTTTACTCAGCAGCTAAAAACTTACTGTTGGCACACTGCGCCTGTATGGCAGTTCCGAGGACGAAATGCCCTTTCTGCAAAGTACCACAATCGAGCACAAACAAGATTGTCGTCAGGCAGGGAAATACGACTATGTAGAGAGGCTTCCAATGGCCTAAATCAGCTGGGAACATACCCGGGCGCGTGCATACGGACCATGATTGCGTCTTCTTGCCAGGCGATCGAAAGAGAGGCGATCGAGAAAGAATAAACGAAAGCGCGCATGCGCCTTATTTCTCCATTGGAATATTTTTTGCCTACCTACCGGTACTGTACTTCGTCAGTTCGTGTTTCCCAGTCAGTGCATGGATGCAGTGCACTCGTACACTCGTACTCGCGCCACTGCACGTGCACTCATGCTAGCACTGAAGTGGAGCAATGACGTCATCAAGATTGCTTTTTGCAGAAGCGGATCGTCAGTTTTTCGAAAGATTTGGAATGGCTAGGCTGACTACTCGCCCCAAAAAGAAGCAGTTAAGTAAGCAATGCAACGAATTCATTTCAAATCTTTCGAAAAACGATCAGCTTCTGCAAAAAGCAATCTTGATGACGTCATTGCTCCACTTCAGTGCTAGCATGAGTGCACGTGCAGTGGCGCGAGTACGCGTGTACGAGTGCACTGCATCCATGCACTGACTGGGAAACACGAACTGACGAAGTACAGTACCGGTAGGTAGGCAAAAAATATTCCAATGGAGAAATAAGGCGCATGCGCGCTTTCGTTCTTTCTTTCTCGATCGCCTCTCTTTCGATCGCCTGGCAAGAAGACGCAATCATGGTCCGTATGCACGCGCCCGGGTATGTTCCCAGCTGATTTAGGCCATTGGAAGCCTCTCTACACAGTCGTATTTCCCTGCCTGACGACAATCTTGTTTGTGCTCGATTGTGGTACTTTGCAGAAAGGGCATTTCGTCCTCGGCACTGCCATACAGGCGCAGTGTGCCAACAGTAAGTTTTTAGCTGCTGAGTAAAATCTGCAAGTATGGAAGACTTGTAAGGTAAACAATACCTATTTTACCCTACTGTTAACTGCAGTGGGTCAAGATGTCCTCTGACGAGGTCAAGGAAATGATTGCCAAGCTCGCCAAGAAGGGGCGCACTCCATCCCAAATCGGTAAGAACAATTTACTACAAGTCGAAATTTGATTTTGTACGCATAATTTTACTCAACACAATTCACAATTTTACAGAACTCTTTAGCAGAATGCCTAATTGACGTGATCATTGTTGTGCAATCTGTACCTATTGCATTTGTAGGTGTGATGCTGCGTGATAGCAATGGTATTGCCCAGGTCAAACTTGTTACTGGCAACAAGATCCTCCGAATCCTGAAGGCTAAGGGTATGTAATTGATATTTTTTACATTTTCATGAATTACCTACATACATGTTCAATTTAATAGTTAGTTTGTCTTCCTTTAAAGGTATTAGTCACCGTCCGTTACATCTCGGCAGAAGTAGCAGCTGACATTAGCAATATTGAAACCCATTTTTAGCAATTCGAATTTTGAAAATGGGCAATAAATATTACTATGCAATGGTGGCACCCTATACTGCGGTACAGTGATGGTTACTAACAACAGCCTCATCATCGCCCTCCAATGATGACTCAGGGTATAGGTTGGACACAGCAGGTGTCTGCAACATCCCGATTGTATGACGCAGAACGAATTGTGGTTGCTGTTTGTAGTGATTGCCCTGGATCCCTTGAACTGTAATATATGCTGGATTGGCTACTACAATGATAGCACTTCACTTGAGCAATTGTCAGCGCTGTATTATGTAAATGTGATAACGTCACGATTTGAGGTGCCTTGTATGGAGTGGCAAAGCAGTGGAGCGCGAGTGCCGGTTTGCAACCCAAACCTAACACTGTTTGCATGGCTTGCCACTTGATACAAATTTGGTCTTCGAATCTCAATACAAACTGTCACTTGAGTCCATGCATTCCATTCAAAGCATATGTAATGGCCTCATCAGCGGTCAGTTATCTGACACCCTCGGCACCGGGCCCTGTTGGTCAAGTGAATATTCTGAATGGCTGAAGCTAAATTATCGCCAATGTGTTGACACATCTGGAAGACTAGTATACAGGTGTAACAAATGTACATGTACAGTTTGTTTGCATTCTTTTCGTATCTGACACTTGTGTTTATTAACCTTTGCCCATCAATATGAACACACTTTGTGAAGTGTAGGCTATGCATGGAAAACTTGGGCCAGCAACCGCTGGATAAGTGACACGCTCCTGTGCCTATATTTCTGAAAGGTGAACGGTTTAGAGTTCTACATCTGCCTTCACTAAATAGAATCCGGAAGTAATGGAGGCCTCCAAATATGAAAATCCAGACCACTAGCCTAGGATCCTTGGCCAACTACTTGCTTGAAAGAAAGAAATATTTTCTTTGTAGACGGTTTAGAGCTCTACGTCTTCCTTCACTAAATAGAATCCGGATGTGATGGAGGCCTCCGAATATGAAAATCCAGACCACTAGCCTAGGATCTTTGGCCAACTACTGGCTTGAAAGAAAGAAAATATTTTCTTTGTTCCCTTACTCGTGTGTAATGTTCTTTGTATTCGGCTATTTTTAAAACCTTTGATACAATATAGACTGCCTGATGCAAATCTATTTCAAAGTATGAACAGTTGAACACTGTTTTATTATCTAGCTGAAAAGTTCTGTTCCTTGAACTTGTTTGCTGTTACTCAGAGACTAGTTTCTTCTCCTTGTGCAAGCTGTCCGTGTTTGTATTCATTTTTTCCTTGTGTTAGGTTTGGCCCCTGCCATTCCAGAGGACTTGTACCACCTTATCAAGAAGGCTGTCTCTGTCCGCAAGCATATGGAGAAGCAACGCAAGGTGTGTTTTACTTTTCAGCGTTACCGTATTTACGGTTTAGCGAAGTCTTGGGTTCACTGCGTGATGCGGTTGTGAATTTAAAGTTATATGTCTTTGCCAAATTAACAGATGTTAACTAGTGCCTGAACAGTGAATACATTTCCACTTTAGTTCACTTTGTTTCAAAGTAATTTGAATATCCAATGTGGTGATGTCTTGTTGTGACCAGTCTGTGCGGTCACTCCATGCATCTCTTTGGAAAACAATGATGTGGCTTTTGGTAAATGTACCAGGGTGAACAATATCCTGCTTCGATTCTATTTGGTGTGGTTACATGTTTCAGGATAAGGATTCCAAGTTCAGGCTCATTCTCATCGAGAGCCGTATCCATCGCCTTGCTCGCTACTACAAGACGAGGCGTGTTCTTCCCTCCAACTGGAAGTAGTAAGTCCTTGCTAATATTCTTACGGTGTCTTACCACATCTGGATGTCGCTTCACTGGCACATGTTGTGTGAATGTACTTCACATATACTTACTACTAGCTTTTTAAATAGTGTCGTCATGGCGATTCACATTGCCATCGTCATGTCTCTGGCCGGCCTATCTACAGAATGGTAGACCATGTGGACAATTTCATTGTAGAGTCGCATGCTGAAGAACGCCAAAGCCTAAACTTGAGAACGGCAGCTTGTAGGACACAATGTTCCGGTGCGGATTTTGTATAAGAACGTGCTATACGACTGCAGCCATGAGTAAAAATAAGGACGTCCCAGGCTAACCCCTTGGAAACATCGTTCTTGGGTGCACGACTGTACTGCACATGTTTCTCTGGAAAAATTGGGTGCCATGGTTTTGTTTGCAGATTTAAAAAAGCAGTGAAGCTCCCATTTTGCCCTACATGCGTGTACTTACTTGACCTATAGGATTGAGGTTACAGTAAGATTTATACACAAGTAAACTCCCTATACCATAAATCCATTCTATCTATTGAGTTGATACATTTTTTCCGGGGTGGTCGTAACTTGACGTTTTCGTTCTGTAAAATCTATCGATAATGCCGGGTGACCCATTGATATAGATTGCCGGGGATGAGTTACAATCAGACCCAATCAATTGCCAGCAGCAAGCCATTGCTTCTTCCAGGTTACCTCAATAAATAATTTCATTGCTATTTAGCATGTTGGCACAGCTAAATGGTTGATGTGTGAATAACTCTCTTGTCTCATTTCTGTTTGCTGGTTTGCCTGCAGTGAATCATCCACCGCCTCTGCTTTGGTTGCATAAATTGCCTTAAGCATAACATTCGAAAGACTGAAAGCTAATAAAGATGGCTGTTGTTTAGTGAGAGTCGTGTGATGTGCGTGCTATGTTTGCAAGCTCCTGTAACCACAGTGCAGATTGGGGTATGACATTTTGAAACTTGTTAGTGTCCTTTTGCATGACTTGCATGGACCTCCCTTCTCAGAGGCTGTTTACATGAGAAAAATAAGCCTGGGCGTATTCACCTCAGGCTTATTTATTTCCACCAATTACAACATGGGCCACGGGTGTTTCAGCAGCACCACTTAAAAATATGGCGTCATTTCGCCCGGTTTGTCAGGATTATGTTAGATTCGGCGCGAGTTATGAATTTATCAGAGTGTACCTAATCGATTTTCTTATTCACTTAGGTTTATCAGCGATATTTCGGTTTAGCAAAAGAGACAAACTATTTTTCAAATTCTACGAGTGAACAAGAATTATTTGGACAAGAAGCACAATCATGTTGACAGGTTCTCTGCTGGCGAACAGACAGTTATACACTAGTTTGCTCACTTACCGAGGACTTCTTCTGTCAGTTTGGCTGTCCAGCTCGTGCCGACCTACTGTTCCTGCGACTTTCTCTTCCGTGGCGCAGGACGCAGTGCTATCGCCTCGTTCGTCGTCGTCAGGAGGTGCTGTGCTGCAACAGTTTGGAGGCGCAGCAGTTCTCGAGGAATAGACTTGTACTTGAAGTTCAGAGAATTCAGTGAAGAGTGGAGACTCTCTGCACCTTGTTCTGCGAGGAGGCCCAATCCTACGCGGACTCGTGTCATCAGGGAAACTGTGTGTTCTTCTAATAGGTGCAACTTCGGCGTGATGTGGCCGAATTTCCTGGACACTACTTCCTTCCTGCAGAGGGCCAGGAATTTCTCGATGTCTTGTTGGAGTTGACCCAAGTCAGCGTCATCGACTGGTTTGCAGTGGCTGAACTTGGCTCGACACGTTGCGTAGCTGTTTATGAGAGCTACGTATCTATCCGCAATTTTAGTGGCCTCAGGACACAAGTCAGGACACCTTGTTTGGACTGACGAAAGATGTGCGGAGGTGATGGCAGTGACCACGGTGGGTTTCAAGGCTTCGTGGAT